GGAATAGGAAAACAATAAGGAAGGAGGGGGGTTGGACCTTTGAGTCCAGGAGTTACCTTAGTAACCAGTTTAAGGGAATAGTGATTAATCAGGGGGGATATCAGGGCATCAAGATCTGCAGCCTTTATAAGCCGTATGAAAAAGGAACTCACCCGGACTCTTCCTCCTCCCAATTAGGGAGTTTGTACTTTTTCTTTAATAAATTTCCACCTTTGCTATACCACCTTTTGTCTGTGGATTCATTCTTCAACTTTGGTAGACCCGGAATCTGGGTTCCAGTACAAATATTCTCTACCAAAAGAAACCTCTAAGATAGGAGGACCTGCAGGGGGAGCTCTCATGTCCTACCACTAATCAGTGGTTGCCCCAAACGGCAAAGACTGCCTTCCATCTGCAATAGGCCTAGCCAATGAAAAGCCATTACACTTGAATTTCCAGTTTTCTCCAGTGGATTCTTTATAACAACTCTTCTCCTTATAAAATAATTTTCTCTCTTTATTTTCTGGACTTGCTTATGCTTTTCCCATAGATTTTATATGCCAAACTGCAATTCTATTATTCCTGAATAAAGCCATTTTTTTTTGCTGGTAAAATAACCAACTTTATTTTTAAGTCAATAATCATATTTAAAACATTTTACAAATTGTGTAAGGTTTTAAAGAATGCTGCCTGGATGAACAGCTTTGAATGAATCCTTTAGCATGAACTCATCATTCAAAGACTGACAGTATACCAAATGAGTATTTATGCCCATAGGAGTCTTATATTAAAAGTTAGATCTAGCCAGAAGAAACTATATTGTATTTGGCTCATTGCCTACAACTTGGCCTATAAAGCCAGTTTCACCCGCTCCCTTTTTTATATTGCAATGTATAATAGTTATGCAGTTTAAGTTTTTATTCAGAGCAAAGAAGAGGATTGGCTCACACTTAAGAAATTTTCTTTTCATATTATCAGTTTTAAAACTTGCTCAATTTAGCAATAGCTAAAGATTTTGTGGTGGCTTCTTAGAAATGAGTCAGTGATACTAGCTCCGATGACAGGCAACAAGATGTCTAAATCACACATCATACTTTCAGTTGACCCTTTTAGCGGAAAAAAAAAAATGTGTAAAAAAGATCAAATAACTTCTAAGAGATTTTTTCCAAATAAGAATGAAAGGATTTGCCAATCCACTGAAAAAGTGGCTGCCTCTTCTCTGTATAAAAAAGGGTCTTCATTTTTGGAAAAGGAGAGAACTGTTAATCTCTTCATTTCATTCTCGGTAACTTTCAAATGTTCATGTTTTACTATGAATGAGTCTGCACAGAACTCTGTGGGTTAAAAACAAAGGTTTTCCATTTTCAGCATTTGCCCCAGGGCTTTGCAACCAAAGCACCATCCTGCTCCTTTCTGAGTTGACTACACCCTCCTCTCCAGGCATTAGCCTTTCTCTTGCACATGTACAAACATTTGTCTCTCTGATAGTTTCCTTGTCAAGGAATTTCTAGATAAGGATCTCTGAGTTAAAATTCCAAATTATATGCGTCCACCCACCCTTTTATTATAATTACCCTCTTGAGGCTTTTTAAAAAAATAGCTACACACATGAACAGTTTCACAACCGCTTCAGTGAGTGGCAAGATTAGTAGGCAAACTCCTAGAGAAATTACCTGAACACAGCTATTAAGGTGCACGTTGTTAACATGTTTCAATGTTGTCATGATAGACCAAGGGGCCAAGTTCAAAAGATTCCATCAACGTGACCTTGTTGAATTTTAGGGATAAAATAGGCAGGTTTAAGGAGTTTTAGGAATGAGGAGGGTCCATGGGGGAGGAATACATAGAAGGAGACTTGAAGACGCCAGGGTGCTTATCTTACTTGTACAGAGGATGGAGAAATGCCGCAGGCAGATGGAAACATTTCTGGCTTGAGCAATTACAGCAGCCATAAACCAAAAACTGTAGTATCTCAGGGCCTGAGCAATTCAAGTGGCCATAAGTTAGACCAAAAGTAGCCCTGACATGAGCAGATGGGAGAGCTATAAGATAAGGCTTTCTCTGCCAGCACAACTGGGAGAAAACCACAGATAAAACAGAAGTGACTCCAACCCAAACAGATAAGATGACCCAACCAGGAGAAGTGCAGACGTGGGGGTCCTGGGAGCTGATTACAGGGCTGAGGTCCCACGGATAAAAGGAGGGTCTCCAGCCTATCTAATTCCAGACAAAGAAAGCAGCAGTCCCCTTCTCAGGGGCCCCTCTGTCCATCCAGGAGGGACAGAGTCTTAGGGTTAGGAACTTAGAGGATACCTTTCTTAGGTGGCCCCTCTGCGCCAAGAGGGACAGAGTTTTAAGCTTAGAATTTAGAATTAAGGTTTTGGAGGTAGTATTTGCTTGCAACAAAGTCTCTGTACTTCTCACCTACCACCTTTTGTCTGTGGCTTCATTCTTTGAATCCATCTGGACAAGAACCTGAGAAAAAATTACCCTGTTTAATAAAACAACCTGAATCATATATATATATGATTCAGGTTGTTTTATTGAATATATATATATATATATATATATATATATATATATACACACACACACATATATATGATTATATATATAGTTGCAAATTAAAAATGTCAGCAGAGGTTTGCCTGGAAATGTGTGAAAACTCTATGATGTAAGAAAAGTAGCCATGACATTTGGCTTTAATGTCAAGAAATTATAGGCAATGTGAGATTGGTGGTGAACTGGCTAGCACATCACTCATTTTAAAGAAGCTGTTATTTAGAGCCAACTGATTATTGACCTGTGGGAACAAGACTTAGTTTCACCCGATTTGGTTTTGCAAGAGTTTGAAGCATATTTAAATATATATGCTTCAGAGAGGAAGGGAGAGGGAGAGAGAGATAGAAATATCAATGATGATGAGAGAGAATCATTGCTGCCTCTTGCACACCCCCTATTGGAGTTCGAGCCTGCAACCTAGGCATGTACCCTTGACCAAAATCGAACCTGGGACTCTTCAGACCCCAGGCCAGTGCTCTATCCACTTATCCAAACTAGCTAGGGCTGAAACATATTTTTAAGTGAAACCGTAGTTTTCAACAGTGATACATGATTTTTTAAAATTACATTGTCATGGCCAAATCAAACATTTCTGTGGGACTCTGACAACCTAGTTTATAATAATTTATTAACAGCCACTAGTACAATTAGTTACTATTAAAACCCATAGCCCAACTACACTTCCAAGCCCCTGCACAGCAACCATTAGAAGAAAAAAGTAAAGATAAAAATTATAAACAATAAATATATATCTATCAACAAGTGAATCAAAAAATCAAGTGAATTAAAAATCTGAGAAACAGAATAAACTGGTGAATATAATGAACATAATAGAATCAAGGGCATAAAATGGGAGTGGATTGATAATTCTCAGGGGGAAAGGGATATCTGAGTGGGGCGTATGGGAAGAGACTGGACAAAAATTATACACCTATGGGTGAGGACAGCATGGGGGTGGTGGAGGTGGTGGTGGTGGTGGTGGTGGTGGTTAAAGGCAGAAGGTGGGGTGGAGACCGGGGGGGAAAAAAGGAGAAACAATTGTCATAATCCGAACAATAAAGATTTATTAAAAATAAAAATAAAGATTTATTAAAAATAAAAATAAAATGTAAGAGAAAAAAAAAAGAAAATGACTTCAGCTTTTCTCACTGTGTAGAATATAATCAAACTCTGTTACAGTTAAATATTTTACCCTTTATTCTGCCTCATGATCTATAATAATAATCTGCTTTGTGTTGATATTTACTGCTATATTGCTGACAATTATGTGAAACAGAAGTTGTGGTGTTTCACTGGGCTGGAAAAAAGGTTAGCTAAATCAGAAAGCAGTTCAAATTAAGCAAGTTTATTCTATATCTATAAAAGGCTAAGTTGACTCACATATGTTCAATACATATAAAGCTCTAGCTGGCACCAATCACACATGTGTGGTTCTATCTGTCATTGCCAATTGTTAATTTGGTTTACACTTCTATTATAGAGAAAGGGAGAATAGGAATATTAAAATATTTCTTCTCATTAATTTCCTTTCAATGTGCATAAATCTATACACCAGGCCACTAGACTATAACTTACTTAAATAATATTAAACTAAATGCATATAGAGCTAGAAAAGAATACTTAAATTCTCAGTATTGTTTTCTCTAAAAATGACTTTGTTGACTTAATAATTTGACTAGGTATAGAATTTCAGGTTAAATTTTTTCCCCTCACTCAATATTTGGCTCAGGTGTTTCATTGCAAACAGTATGCTGATGAAAAGTCTATTATTATTATCCTGTATGATATCTGTCATTTTTGTCTAGTAGCATCAGTGTTTTCCTTTTTAACTTCATATTCTAAGATTTCACCATCATGCTTTTGTGTTTTTAATTTTTCATGACATTCACTGATCCTTTGTGAGGTTTTATGTTCTTACGTAGTTCTGGAAAATTCTAGGCAATTACCTCCTGAAATAGTTCTTCTACCACATTCTCTCTAAATGTACTGAAAGATGTTATGCCTGGTGAGACAAGTTGATGACTGGTCTTTTGTTTTATGAGTGCTCTCCATTCCTCTTAGTCTCCCCAGCTGTCAAGGACACTAGGAGATGGGTCTAAGTGCCCATCTCCACTTTTCCTGACTGGAGATAGGTTCTGCATTTTGTCTTATAGGAGGGGAAGGAGAGAGAAATGCCAGGATTGACCTCTCTCTCTCTCTCATTCTCTCTCATTCTCTCTCTCTCTCTCTCTCTCTCTCTCTCTCTCTCTCTCTCTCTCTCTCTCTCTCTCTCTTTTCTTTTTTGCCCTTCCTTTGTGATACTCCGATTAACCATCCCACCAGTTGTGTTCTGGGTTTCTTCTGGGTTTCATTATCTTACAGACATGGAGCACTTGTGTTGCCGCTCTCATCGGCTAGGTTAAAACTTTCCCAAGAAAATCCTGGACTGTGACCTCTCTCTCCTTTTCTTTCTTTTTCAACCTTGTTGTAAACTAGTCCACAGACTATATGCACCGTGAGGCCAGCTTCACTATTACTTTTCCTCCTTTACGACCACAAGATTGGTGTTCAGATCCAATGGGAAAGGGAACCAAAGGGTCAGGTTGTTTTCAACATCTATCTTTACCTTATTCTAAAACATAGGGGCAGCAAAAAGCTGGTATCCTCAGCTATGCCATTATCAAACCCTGCCAGGAAACATGGAGGCAGCCTACAGAAAAAAAGTTTGAGAGCTCTAAACGAAAACGTTAATTCAGTACATCCACCTGCATGGATCCAGATCCTGCATGCACTCCCAAGCCCAGGTCCTGAGATATAGGGAAAGTGCAGCTGCAGGTATTATGCTGACCTGAGTGGTCAAAGTCTCTCCAGGTTGCTCTTGCAGGCTGTTGGAGAATGACCTCTCTCTTGTCTGTATTTTTCAAAGGTTAATTACTGTTTTTATAGTTCTTTAAGTTCTTTTTTTTTTTTCTTTTTTTTTTTTACTATGGCTATTTTTATTTATTAATTTTAAATAGTTTCCTTAATTCTATGACTTTAGTATGGAAGAAGATTACATCAAATGTTTACCATTTTGAAACTGGAAGTCTGTCCTTTTAGTCATCACCATGCGTGTTTTGTACTTGATATTCTGGTCAAATAATTGTCCAAAGAATTATCTCAAAAAAAAAAACCCACAAAAAACCAAACTTAAAAAAGTTAGAATATTCTCTTGTATTCCATATTTGTCCCTTAAAAATTTACTTCAGTTCTCATTTCCCAGTTCTGTCCACTTCTCCTCAAAACATACACAGACAGACACACACATACACATCCTACACTTAGCATATGCATATATACATATACATACATATATATATATATATATATATATATATATATATATATATATAATAGTAGATTTACTGTAGTTTAAAGACATAACCCTTCATTAAATGATGATGAGAAGCAAATAAGGCAAACTAGAAAGTATGGTTGATAGTATTTGAAACAGTTGACTTGTAACAATATTAGTTCTGATTATGGAACAAAGATGGGTGAAGTGTTCATTCAAACTTTGTTATTTATTTACAGCTTGATAATATTCTTTTTTAAAATTTCTTCTAATGCCAAAATATTAATGTTCATTGGAAGGAATTTTTTTCTTTATGCCAAGTATCAGACTTAAGAGGCAAAGTTTTTATTTTATTTTATTTTTTTATTTTTAAACTGTAAATATTTGACATGGAGAGTTTAGCTTTGTGTTTAACTCTGTTGATTTGCTTCTGTATTTGTGAAATTTTGTTTTTAAGTTTCATTTAGTTCTTAAATATAAAAAACAAATCAGAAATGGACTCTGTATGTGTACGTTGTTTGAGTTTTTTTAAAGTATATATTTTTATTGATTTCAGAGAGGAAGGGAAAGGGAGAGAGAGATAGAAACACCAATGACAAGAAAGAATCATTGATCCTCTGCCTCCTATCGGGTCTAGTAAAAATTAATGTCGTTTTCCAACATTCGTTTAAAATCTTGCTTGGCGTTGTCTTGTATTGACATAACCTTCAAAAACGTGGTATCTACAGAACGTGTGAAGTGCAATTAACAAGTTTTGCTTGAAAAAGTTTGTGTTTGGTTTGGTTTTTGTTGCAAAACTAGGGCTAAGAAGATGGCGGATGAAGAGCATATTCGGCACTGCATGCTTTACAAGTTCCAATTAGGAAGAAAAGCAAGTGAGGCTGCAAAAAACATCTGTAGTGCTCTTGGTCAAGATGCAGTTAGTGCCAGAAAATGCCAGTGTTGGTTTGAGAAATTTCGCGAGGGAAATTTTTTGTTAGATGACAAGAGTGGTCGAGGCCGTGTGTCCAATTTTGATCAAGAAGCTCTTCAAGCTCTTTTGGTGCAAAATCCTCAAATTACCCAACAAGAGCTTGCGACAACTTTAAATTGTTCACAAAAAACAATTTCCAATCAATTGCGTGCACTTGGCAAAGTCCAAAAGTTTGGAAAATGGGTTCCTCATGAGTTGACCGACAACAACCATAATCAGTCACAATTTGCAGTTCGCTCCTCTCTCGTCAAAACCGTTTGCCATTTTTAGAGCAAATTGGTACCGGAGATGAAGAATGGGTGCTGTATGTTAATTTGTAAAGGCGGCCTCAATGGTTGGACAAAAATGAGGCTCCACAGCCCACGCCAAAACCTGACTTGTATGCAAAAAAAGTGATGTTGTGTGTTTGGTGGAATTTTAAAGGAATTCTTCATTATGAACTTTTACCATCTAACCAAACCATTACAAGTGCAGTGTATAGTGCCCAATTGGAAAGGTTAGCCCAAGCTTTAAGTGAAAAAGAACCCGCGCTGATTAATCGGAAGGGCGCAATTCTTCACCACGATAACGCATGACTGCATACTGCAAGAATCACTGCTGAAAAACTGCGCCAGTTGGAATGGGAAGTTCTCCCTCAACCTGCATATTCTCCTGATATTGCCCCTTCCGATTACCATTTGTTTCGTTCTTTGCAAAACTTTCTTCTTGGAAAAAAATTTAATAATGAAGAATGCCTCAAAAATGCATTGACCGAATTTTTTGCATCAAAATCACAAGAATTTTACAACAGAGGGATTAAAATGCTTCCTGAGCATTGGGCACAAGTAGTAGAAAACAACGGCAACTATATTGTTGATTAAATTTTGTTGTATTGTTTAAATAAATTTGATTTTAAAAAGTATTAGAAAACGACATTAATTATTACTAGACCTAATATTGGATATATACCTGCTATTGGGGATCGAGCCGGAAACCTGGGCATATGCCCTTGACTGGAATAAAACGTGGGACCCTTCAGTCCACAGGCTGATGCTCTATCCACTGAGCCAAACAGGGCAATACACATCTTTTTAAAGCTTCAATCCTGTAACCTTTCAAAGTAATGAAAACTTTTATCATTTGGTTAACTACTTTAAATAGTTAAGTTGATCAGACCTTAGACAAAATGGAGAATACACATAGGCAATTTCCAGAAAATAAATTATTATGGATTTGTATTTATTTTGATAAACACCTTAAGGAGAGTTCTCAATGATTGGGCTGTTTATAGAAAGAATCACTCACTGTGATTATGGTTCCATGGGTGTTCATGGAAAGTCAAAGTCTTGTTTGTTAGGACTAATTCCCTTTCCACCCCCCCCACCCCCTATTTTTAACATAAAAATGCAAATTTAGCCATTCTTCTGTTTTACCTAGACCTCTTACCTTGATTACCCATGGATCTCAGGAATGCTGCCCTCCTTCATTCTCAGGTCTTTCTCCATTCCTTTAGCTACTTTCTCATTTGTTATCTAACTTCAAAACTGATAGGAGCTTCATGTTCAAACCTCGGACTTTTGTTCTCAGCATACCTCAAACCAACTTCTGCCTCATAGATCTTCAGTCTTGAAAGTCACTGTTAAAGTCCCCTTTGCCTGATCCAGCAATCTTTTTTTTTTTTTTTGATTCACCTTATGGCTTCAAATCTACAGCCAGGCTGCCTGTGTCCTAATCTAGTTCCATATTTACTGACAATACTTTAGTACCTTATTTATCTTCTCTAGGTCTCACTTTCTTCATCTGTAAAATGGGATTAATAGGTTTGTTGTCAGGGTCAAATGAACTAATACATATACATAATTTAGAATAGTGAATAACACACAGTTTCTTCACCCATTCAGTTGGGGTTCTTCAATAAATGGAGGAATGCTATGGCTAAAAGAGAAATTATTGTCTATTCTCTTTAGCTAATCCTAGGCTTCTGGATTCTCTGACTCTACCCCTCTTCTTCACTCTGGAATCAATGGAAAAATATCCTTAGGTGAGAATTAACAACCAAAAAATCTCTTTCCTGGATCTTTGTGAGGAGGAATTTGCATAGCATCCTACATGATATTGGATTATAGTAACCTTTTCTCCCATTAAAGGAGGAAAGAAGACAATACATTGTATTGTAAAACTTACATGAAAGGACTGCTATCTTGGTTGAACTTAGATAACTAGGTTTTGATCACAGGGTTGCTATATTACCATAGTTGTCATTTGATGGAGGAATAGTTCTGCTTTCAGAAAGGGTACTGATATTGGGGCCATGTCTTTAATAGATTCACTGTTAAAGAACATGATGCATTTGACATCATAAGAAAATTTCACGATAAACTTTGAGGATGTTGGAAAGGTACAGAATGGGACATTTAAAATTATGCTATGGAATTGCAGGTGCTGATGTTGACAGACGTTCATGATATAGCATTAAGTAGACAAAAATACTAAGCTGTATGGTGTCAGGATACTTTCGCAGCATTCAACTCAACATGAATTAAAAATAATATAGTTATTTTTATCATTCTAATTGTTGTTAATCCAATTGATCTAGTCCAGACATAGAGCAGGTTTCAGGATTGGTTGACTCAGGGACCCAGTGATGCTATCAAGGAATCTGTTTCTCTATTCTGTTACCAAAATATCTGCTTCACCCTATAGCTGGTTACCAAAATAATGTCAGATAGATTCCAGGAGCAATTGGGTATGATTACTTGCTTCTTCATTCACATTAAGATAGAGAAGGAGAGAATGACTATCATTTGCTATAAAGACTGAAAAAGAAACTTTTTAAAAAATCTCTAGCAAGCATCTCCTAATTTGTGATGGGCTAGATTTACATCATATGCCAATTAATAGACTCAGTTGGCAGAGGAAATGTGCTTCTTTCTTTAAAAATAAAATGTATTTGGGATGACAGCTATGTATATAAAACCCTAATATGCAAATAGTTTGAATGGCGGAACAAATGAAAAACTGGTCGTTATGACGTGTGCTCATAACCAGGGGGCATGTGTGGAACAAGGTGGGCATCAGCAGCAGGTGGCAGGGTGTGGAACATGGTAGGCCTCAGCCACACTGGGATGATAGAGCAGGTAAGCTGGGGTGCCAAATCAAGGCAGGGCACCGGTCACTGTCATCAGGGCGAGCCTTTGGTGGTTGCTGAAAATTCTTTGCTCCTGTGCACCATGGTCCTGCCCAGTGCTCACACTTGGTGCCCATGTTAATAAGGCCTATACTCACTGCTGGCACTGGAACCACCTCTCACACCCGCTGCTAGCACCAGATGCCTAGTGGCCAGTGCCCAGTGCAGGTCCCAATCACTGGGTGCTGTCAGTGAGTGCTGAGCAGCTGCCAGCCTCAATCGCCCCTCAGGGCTTCTCCATCTCCTCCTGCTCCTGAGGGGCAATTGGGGCTGAAGCCCTGAGTGGTGATGGGGCCTGTAGCTGCCTCTAGAACCTGTTGCCAGCAATAGCCCCACTCGCACTCACTGCCGGTGCTTGGCATGTTCCCAATTGCTTGGTGCTGTCAAAGGGTGTGAGCTGTAGGCCAGCCCTAATCACCCCTGAGGGCTTCTCCACTTCCCCCTGCTC